AGTACCCTCCTCTTGCTCCTCCCCTCTAGCCCTAAGGTATATATGTTGTAACAGCTTCTGCAATAAACGAGACTTGATCAGAAACCTGTCTTGTCTCCATCTCTCGTGTCCCCTGTCCCCTCTCATCCTCGCTCCCCCTCTAGGGTCTCCGTTGACTTACCCGCGGGCCGGGACACTTACAGAGGCTATTTGGATCTATTTCTCCTGCACATATATTGACATGTTTTCTCTATCTTACCTGCAAATCCAAGGGCTGCAACTCCTAGTCCCACAGCTATTAAATTTCTTGCCTGTGGAAGAAAAAATATTATCACATAGTGGTACATAGAAGGTTTTAAAAGTAAATCATTTTTTAACAATGAGGGTAATCATATCAAATGTGAATTTTCTTCAAACTCCATGACGAAGAGAATTCAAAATCTGCAGTCTCTACCGTATCTGCTGTTTTCTTTAGCAACTACTTTTCAGTGAGCAAAACTAATTCTAAATTTTTATGTATTTGAATGCATCTTCAGCAAGAGCTTTCATATAACCTATTGCTAAGATGTTTTGAGCAAGATATGGTGGTGCATGCCTGTATTCTAGCACTGAGGTAGGATTGCTAGGAGTTGAGGCCATCCTGGGCTACATAGTGAGTTTAAGGCCAGCCTCAACTACATAATGAGGCCCTGTCTCAAAAATGAAAAAATAAATTAAAAATAAAATAATGAAATGTTTTAAAAAATTCTCATCTGGAAAAAAAATAAAATGTTTTCTATAGACTATTCTTAATAGTGGGTTTAATATATTTACCTTCCATAGAGATAAAAGCATATTTTCTCAATATTTTACATTTACAATGCTCAACTGTAATTGCCATAACTGAAATTTTAGTAAAATTTTAGAAGCATTTTTAGGAAAGAAACAGAACTTTGAAAAATCAATAAAAATTATAAATTACTTAATTTTCTACCCTTTTAGAATAGATTTAAAAAAAATAAAATATGAGCCAGAATTCATAACATCAGACTAAGGTTATAAGCCAATTCTAAAAAATATTTAAAATTGGTTATACAAAAATATTCTACTTACAATAAAAAATGATTTATGATCAACAGTTGCCCCCCCTATTCTTTTTCTTCTATAGAGTCAGGGCTTTTTATTTTTAGCCAGGTAGATATTCCATTTTTAGTCAAACATGTATTCCAAGTCTCCTTCAGATTTTTTTTTTTCTTTTTGGTGGTAGTGGGATCAGACATAGGGCACTCTATTACTGAGATACATTCCTATTCATTTTTATTCTGAGACAAGATCATGCTAAGTTGTCTAGGTGGGAGTCGAACTTGAAATCATTAGTTTTTTTTAAAGCTATATTAAATAAGTGTTGGCCCGTGGGACATAGGCAGAGTAGTATGTGCAATTCTTAAATCCTCAGAAAGGGAGAGAAGGAGGAAATACCCTTATTTTCCACTTACCTTCCTGCTAGTTGGAAAGATATTAAACCTGAATCAGCCCTCTAGAAAATAAAGGACGAGATGAAAGGAGACTTTATCCTTCCCACTCCTATTCCACCATGGAGGTGTCTTAGTATACCTGGATTATTCCTATGTATATGAGGTAAAATAAAAGTTTTATCTCCGAGTTACTATATTTTCAGTTTTTAGGCACTTGAAGCCAAAAAAATTCTGATGGATACAGAATTAAACAAAACTACAGAAACATTTTTGTCTAATTTGTGGTGAAAGAAGTAAATTCGTAAAATTCAGCAAAGATTTTTTTAAAAAGCTACAATGACCCCACTAGAGAACAGAATGGATATATTTCACATTGGTGTAGAAATCCTTAAGGAGGAGGCTAAGACTCAAGGGATGTTAAAATCAAAAAGCTCTTCAGCTGTCTGCCTTCAAGTTCTGAAAGGAAATACACGCCTAGTCTTAGGAAATCAAAGCTCAAGCCTTCAAGGGATGACTCCATAATGGGAAACATCAGGTCAGAAAAGGCAGCTCCTGGAAGGTGTTTTAACTGTAGCATGCAGTATTTCTCTCTGAGAAACCCAGAGCTCTTCATGCACAAAGGAAGGAAGTCTAACAGGAGCTGCTTGCTTGCAAATATAACTTATTCCCTCCCCTTGCCCTTTTGCAAGGTTATTTCACCTCCCCATTCCTTTTGCAAAGTGGTTTGTTTGTTTTGGTGCTGAGGATTAAACAGAGGGACAACTCAATGAGCTATAGGCCCAGCCCTTGTTATTAGTGACAGGATCTCACTAAATTGCTCTGATTGGCCTCAAATCTCCTGCCTCACCATTGGGAGTACCTGGGATTACAGGCCTGTGCTACCAAACCTGGTTGCAACATGATTTTTGAGGTATAGTTTAGAAAGTGAACTAGTGTTCTCTACGTCAAACCCTCTAACTTCTTACATGGCAAAAAAGTACTTTTTTTTTTTTGGTACCGGGGATTGAACTTGGGTCCTTGTGCTTGTGAGGCAGGAGCCGGAACCACTGAGCTAAATCCCTGGCCCCTAAAAAAGCACTTTTAAGATGGGCGTGGCGGTGCATGCCTGTAATTCCAGCAATTGGGAGGCTGAAGCTGGAGGATCTTTGAGTTCAAAGCCAGCCTGGGCTACATAGTGAGTTCAAGGACAACCTGAACTACATTGAAAGACCCTACCTTAAAAAAACAAACAAAACAAAACAAAACAAAAAATCTTTTAAAATACAAGTCTTTTAAAAGTTGAGTTACTCTAATTTCAAGCTTTTATAGAATAATAATTCTTGCTTCATTTTACTAATTTAACTATTCAAAACATACAAGAGAAATAGCAGTCTCATGAATGTTACAATTCCAAAATGATTTTTATTTCAAAGACTAAAACCATTTATATGGGAAAATATTAAATCAAAGGCATTTGCTCATTTTTTACTTTACCAATATGTAAAGCTAAGCTGTGTTTAATAAGAAAAATTGAACTTAATTCAAATAAACTGACCACTCACTTATTTGTCAAACCAATCACTCCTTATTTGTCCCCATAGGTCCTTTTTCCATTTTGTTTAGTTTTGTGTTTCTGCTTCCCCTTATTTCTAAGGATGACATTATCCAGTACTTGCTCTCTACTTTCTGCAGCAAGAGAAAGTATTATGGATATCAGGCAATCAGATAGGGCTGGGCCCTCCAGTCAGTGCAAAAGAAAACACATTACAACTGTGATGGGAGGCACATCAGTTTAAGGCCAGGCCTCAAGATAAAGACAAAATGACCAGGTCTACATACTTCCCCAAAAGACAAGATAAGTGGTAACACCTGATCTAATAAAAATCTAGATAGACATCAGTCACCCTCGGTGGGTAACCAAGACCTCCGAATCCATCTTTTCCTAAAAAAGTTCTTTGTTCTTTCCATGTACATTTGCTATGTGACTTGCTTCCCCATTGGATCAGTATTACCTAAGCCGGTATACTTGTAATCTTATTGGTTGATCATAATCTTGTCCCACATTGTACCCACCTCATGATTTTGCTTTATAAAACTTCTCCTGTGATGTGGGGTCCATTCAGGTCCCCTCCTGTCCCTCTCAGGAGCTTTCTCTCAATAAATATTTCCTACTCTTAACCTCCATTCTTCCTTAGAATTCATTCTTTGATTTTAGGGAACATGAACTCAGTGTATCTGACATCTAACAAGTAAGGAGTTACATTATTTCACCTATATCATTTGGAGGTCCTATATCAAAAGCATCAGCAAAACTATGAAGGTTGGAGGAGAGAGACATAATTGCAGTTTAGTCCTCCATCTCTTCCCTGCCTTGTTTCCTCTCAGGTAACATGTTTTGCTAGGTCACTCTTTCTCCATGCCTAAAATTCTGCATTCTGGAACACAGTTCCTAACTCTTGCTGGTCCTTAAATGATCCATTACCCTTCTTTGGTGTAAACTATGCCTACATATCTGCAAATAGTCCCTTCTTTAAATTGTTTTCAAAACAACTATCCTTCTATTACTACAAGGACCTTCACTGACATAATTATCACTACATATCAGTCACTATAAGAGAAGCTTAATCTATGCTAATCTTCCAAAGATATTTATTTTTATCCTTATAATAATATATTTTATCTTTATTAGAATACTACTAAATTAGGTGTATTGTCTCCCTTAGCTTTTCTAGATATCAAGAGTCTTAAAAATCTAATAAATATATAAACCATTCTCCCAGAAACACACAAATATATATAATATCACATTTTTGGTGTACAATTTGAGGGGATTCATGGATTTCCCTGAAGTCCTTAAGTCCACAAGCTCCAACATCAGAACCCCTGGGCAGGAGGGACAAGGAAACTCACTAAAATCAAGAAAGGTGTCTCATTCATCTTTGAGTTCCTACACCATGTGAGGAGACCTGTCATATATATTTCACTCTTCATTCAACAATACGGTAAGAAAAAATAAAGTTGATTTGTTAATAAAATTAAAAGAATTAACCTGTTTCTAAAGAACTAACTTTATAAAGAGGAAAACAAAAGGCACTGCAACTTTAAAAATAACAAAAGAGACCCAAAGTGAGTAGATCATTGGAGTAGTTAAGGATGTTCAATAAATGACCTAAACTGAGGAACCAAATCTTAATCACACTAAAAGGACAAAGTATAGCACAGCTAATCTAGAACCATTCTATATATTGGAATTTAAATTCCTTACTGGAAGGGAATTGTATCTGAATTATCTCTTTAAATGTATTTTAATTAACTTACATTAGGAGAGCTTTCATTTTTCAACATATAAAACTGATAGCAAACAAAAATATATTTGGAAGTCAAAATTAATTTGAAATTTTAAAAAAAATCACATAGACTACACAACCAAGTTTTGCACTCTAAGATAATAAGTCTTTTTCATCAAGTATATGGAACTATTAAGACATTGTCTGTATATTGTAAGAAATCAAAAGTGGAAATAAGGACTAAAATGTGTAACAGATATTGGGAAATGGGAAGAAAATGTTTAAATGAGAAGGGGAACAAGGGAAGGGGGAGGTAGACAGCAAAGAACAGACAAGAAAAAGAGAATAGAAGGAAAAATGGAAAGCTTTTGTAAATAAGGAGGGGAATGGATAAAAAAGAAGAAGCAAAATATATCATGTACAGGTACAAATTCCCTATGATGTTATCATTATGTTTATCTAAAATGCACCAATAAATGTTTTGCTTCAAAAAAATAAAAGGCATTATCTGTATAAACAATTAAGTTAAAACTTTCATTGGCCTAAAATAACATGATTTGCTTCCTGGAAAAAATATAAATCTACTACCTA